GCTCTTCTCCAAGTCCCGCTCGGGAACAAGCGGCTCCGAATTCTCATCGCTGAGGAATTTAAGCATCATTGTCGAGGTCTTCTTTCATTCTAGCGCAGGACGCGACACCTACGACAGGCGAGTCATTGTTTCGATGAGAGCGTGTGAGCTTGGATTTTCCCCGGGATACCCTCTCCGGATCGAGTCCACGCGTTATTCCGCTGGAGAAAATAGGAAGTGTCCGTCAACTCCAACGGGTGGTCTCATGTTTTCTTCCTTCCAGTTCTCACGATGCCCGGAGACGGAAACAGGGCGGGCGCGATCAAGATTTTCCAACTAGTAGTTGCGGTACAAGCCACGCATGCTACATACCGAACGCAGCGGATGCAGATCTCCACGAATTTTCCGTTTGTCTCTACATTCCTTTAGCAGAAAACACGAATGTTTCTTTCCGGGAAACTCTTTCGCACCTCAGAGGAAAAGCTTTTCCACAGTCGAGCGGTGATTGCTCTGCTGTTGCCTCGGGGGAAATTGGCGGGAAAACACAGAAAACCCATCCATCGTCTGATGGTGAGCTACTCAGTTAATTACTCATCATGTAGAGAGTCGGCGCATTCGATATGCAGCCGCACGGTGAGCCGTTCGAGTTCGCTACGGGCTTTTCGAAAGCGGTGCGTCGTACGATAGGCGATATCCGGCGAGTGTTACGTACGAAACGTGACGGCTGCCTTTCTGCTTGTGTGCTTGTCTCTCTGCTGGCTGCCTGCGGCAAGGAGGAAGCAAGCGCCAATTCCATATCCAGGCCAGTGCATTTTGTATCATCACGAAGCCGGGGTCCGGCTGTTTGCTTGCGTGGCCGGCCGACCGGCCGGCCGGCATGTCTGTCCGCCGGTCCAGCCCGCGCGCAGACTTCGGAAATAGAGCCGCCAGCGGCTGATCAAGCGAGCCTGCGAGCGATGCAACGAACGAACCAGCCCATCATCGAGAGTGGTTCTCGGCGCGTTCCTCCAGTCGGTTGCCCTTGGAACTCGACGGCATAGACTCCACGGTATCGTAGAATCTCTTCCTGCGTCCCATCCCCACCCCCCGCAGCGGGACAGAGAAACGTTGCGCAGACTTTTTGGGGCCGGCTAGCTCGCTATCTCTTTCGGATCATGGTTGTTGTTGATGTCGTCGTCGTCGTCGTCGTCGTCTTCATATAAACAGCGACATTAGCGCAATTGGCTCCCGGCCGAGGAGATGAGGAAGACGACAACGAGAACGACAGCGACGACCGAGTCCGGGGAGATTGAGGGTTGAGCCCCCTGTTCAATAATTGCCTGTGACGACAAGGAGAACACGAGGAATTGGGCTTCCTGCTGGGATAACTCGGGCTCGGGATCCATCGCCAGCGCCCGAAATCACTAAACCTGATCCGCCGAGGAATCTCGATTCACGATCACGATTGTTTCAAGCCCGACGAAGGAGAGGAAATCTTGATAATTGAATTCCTCCTGAATTGTCTTTCGATATCAGTTCTCTCCCTCGGGACTTCGATGCATATGAAACATGGATCCTTTCTCGGATTCCGTCGGAATCGTTTCCGAGTCAACAAAGATCTCATATATTCCGAAGTGTCGAATGGGAATATCTGGAGGACAATCGAACCTTTGGAGCTCTCATTGTTATTGGATCTCCAACGGCTCGATCTGTCGATCAAATTCCCAATACCCGAAAAATGTGAATCCCCTCTATTTGGTTCTCCGTTGTTTTCTCAAGGCAAGAGAAGACATTTTTTCTTTGACACAACTGATCCGCCGCCGCCGAGAGATATTGGAGCCTAATGGAAACTAGTCGTCCGTGATTTCAGCTGAGCCCGGACAGAATTTCCGTGCGACGAGCATTCTATCTGCAGCGAGGAGGCGAAAAATAACCTCCTTGAAGGATCCGCATAGAAGCCGGAACAATCGATCTTGGAGCTTTCTCGAAAATGGGGGAAAGAAAGCAATTTTCGTAAAGCGAAGGCTGAGGAGTGTCAATCGCCGATCCGCGAGAAACTTCACGCGCCACCCCGAGTATTTCTCGAAGCCATTTTCCCCGCTTTCAACACATCCGAGATGACTCGCGCTCTGAGGCAGCGAGTACGGCGACGGGGTGATGAAATATTCCATTGGAACGAACAAACTCTCCAGCGTCTCGAGTGGGACTTCTCAGCTCAAGTTTAATGAATTCCAATCCTAATATTATTTTCTTCCCAATTCAAAAGTTTCCCTCTCTCTCTCTCCTTCGACATGGCGCAACCGGCCGTCAAATCAGCGTGAGAAGTTTCGTTGGGAAAGCCTCTCAAACTAATTTGAGCGGGAGATTGGGAAATTCTAATAACTCTGACATCAATAATGTCTATCGTCATTCCTGTGATAGCCAATCATAACATCTGTCGTCAAGGTCAGACGAAACGCGAGAGATGGAGCACGGGTAGAGATCGGAGAAGGAAGGAGCGGCTCCACCAGCAGAACGAGAAGAAATCAGCAAGGCGGACGTTTCTCGACAAAATTACTTTTTAGTAAGCGTCATTACGATGTCAATCTCGTCCAAAACTGCGGTGCCTTGTGTCTGCCCGCCCGTCCGCCTGCCTGCCTTCCTGCCTGTCTGACTGCCAAGCTTGCCCTCTAGCAAGAGAACGAACGATTTATTAAACCCGCCCGGTTATTAAAGCCTAGCCTTTGAAAAACTAGAGACTCCCCCAGCTCGTCCCTCTCGATCTACCCGTACCCGTGATCTCTCATGATTGTCCCCTCAAAATTCCCCTCTCCCCCCACTCCCACTTCTCGAGGGGGAGAATCAGGACGACGACGGAGGAGATGGGGAGAACGGTTGCTGCTCCTCTCTTTTAATATCGAATGAATCCTCGTCTCTCAAGCCAAGCCGCCGTCCTGCTCATTCCCAGCCCTGATTCCTGAACCAACCCCGAGCTGTTATTGCTCGCTCAGCCGATCTGACGGGAAAGAGACGAGTGGGATTTTAATTTGTGCTCGCTGCGTCTGCTAAGTTTATTAGTTGAACATCAAGCCGCTGCCAGCCCGCGATCCCTCGCCGCTCCGCCATCGAGGCAACCTTCCGACGACCAATCTCCCCGCCGTGGTCCGCCTGCTCGTCTGTCCAGCCAATCCAACTCGGTGTGAATGATTGATTGAAAGACTCAGCTCTAATTCGGCGGCGTTTGTTTGGCCTGCCGGGCTGGAGTATTTCGGACTCGACTGAGGAACCTGACCAGTGATCTGGCAACGCTCACTCCGCGCCCTGACTGTACACGATACTTCTGGGGGCTCCATGTATTCTCGCGCGCGCCTTCCGAATCCTCGTGTTTGCTGCACTTTGTGATATGTGTGAAACGGGGGAATGACATGCTCGGTATGGAACCGCGGCGCTCGCCTTGCGCTCATTGCCATTGATTCCGAAATGTACTGAATCACAGGACGGAGACCCCATTTCTCTCGAACATGTCCAGAATTTGAGTTTTAGCTCCCTCCGAATTTCCAGTCCCAAAATTGGAGGTTGATCTTTCTCAGACTGCAATACTTTCATTGTGTCCCTATCGGTTGTGTCTCTCTCTGTATTCCATAAGACCATCATGCGGTGCATCGCGGCATGGTCACCGATCGACCCTCTACGCTCACGGCAATCACTTCCTCGACATTTTATTCACCTCTGGTTCAGGAGCTAAACATCGAAGCCAGCCCGGCTAAGTTCATTCCGTGTCCCCTAATTCGTACAGACTGTGATTGGCCATCAGAACAAAATCGAGTTGACTCACCTGTCGCGTCTCGGGAGTAGGTTCCGTTGAGGAACCGCTTAACAGTGTGACACGCGTTCCAAGCTGACTGCTTCACAGCGATCGGACAGAGAATCGAGCCGCTTCTGGAGCCCGGCGATTCTCACGCGAATGCGTGACGTCCACCTGGTTGTGCTATCCTTGAAATTCTCGAAGAATCGTTCCCGTCGAGAATTGTTGCCTCGATTCACTTGATGACATGGGGATCCTGCTCCAGCGTCGAGATCCGATTCGAGCTGAACAGGAAAACCACAACACAAACAAACGAATCAACCATGGGACGAACGAACGGCGAGCTCGTTATCCTTCCTTCTCCTGAACAGCCGGCGGAGGTTCTCCTGACCGCTGCGAAGCAGCTCTGAGTCCTCCGAGATCTCGGCCCTCTCCCCCGGTTCCCTCTCCTCGCTCACTCTGTTGAGTGAGGGTAAGACCAAGATAAGTCAGTCATACGATCAGCGTTGAACCTAGGTTCCTTCAAAACTGTCCAAAAAACGATCTCCCCACGACCGGTCCCTAACGAGGGCCTGCCGACGTCGGCTGTACGCTGGACCCGCCGATCGCAATCTGAACAGACTGCGGCCCTCAACCGCGGTCTCGTCTCCCGGTTGCTGCTGAGGTGATTTCTATATTACGGCTCGCTAGTCCGGTATTACACGGATTACATTGAAGGGTTCATGATCAGGAGTATTGATTCGGCGAATCAGATAGATGAGCTTCTTTTCGATGCCACCTCACAGCAGAACAAGGAACAATTCTGGTAGCCGATCCCCGGACGTGCATGAGCCGCCTGAGGCAGCCTGCTCAGCAGCCCAGGATTCTCCCCGAATGCATCATGATTCATGATTCAATGCGGACGGAGTGTTTGGGACGTCTGTAAGCTATGAGGAATATTCGGTTTCTCTTAGCCTACGCGAACACTTTTGGTCCCCCAAGATACGGGGACGATGATGAGGAGGAATGTCTCAATCCTCCCCGATCGGGTTTGGGGAAGACCTCGATGGAGAATGCGTCCTCTCCTTAGACAGTCGAGAACTCATCGGCTCACAGGATTCGTTGAATTAGGATCGTTGCACTGGAAGCAGCGGCGCCCCGTCGGAGCGGAAAGCCCGCCGCTGGTAAGAGAACGAATCATAATCATCATTCCCAGCTTCCCGCGCTCCGCTGTTTAAGCCGACTTTTAGCATCACAGATGATCCATCTGAGTAAGTTTGACGTGTGCTTACCGCCAGAGTCGAAACTACAGTCTCCAAAATTGAGTCGTGAATCTGGAGTGCCCGATTTGCACCGAATTTGGTGAACAAAAATTCAGGCGTCGGTCTCATCCTCGGTGAGTACAACCGCCGTAGAATCGCGATTCCTGGGGCTGATCATTTCATTTTCTGGAAAGTTCATTGTTATCGCGAGATGGTTGCATAAACTGGGTACGGAGACATTTCCTATTCTTCCCACCGAGGGGGCTCCAGCCATTAGTCCCGTGAGGTTCCTCCCGGATCTTTACAGCGCTGTACTAGTCCGCGTGTGTCAACTCCCGAGCACGGAATCTGGGAATGAGAACCACAGATGGAACATCTCCCGCGTTCTGGATAATTTCTCCCATCGATAGTAATATACGGTACGCTCCTTGCTAGGTCCCCTTGCTCAGCATTGTCGTGGCATCCATATCGGAAGCTGACGCGCGAGTTCCCTACCGCTGGGCTCAACAATGACGGATCTGAAAATATTATACCGTAACGAAGACTTCGTCGTAGTGGACAAGCCTGTCGATATTGCGATAAACGCATGGGACGACGAGAAACACCCAGTCACAGTCGCTTCGATACTCAAGGGGATCATACCGGAATGCGCGGATCCCTCGGTGAAATACAATTTCCGCTTCGTTCACCGTCTCGATTTCAGCACCTCGGGGACCTTGTGCATAGCTCTCAACAAAAAAGCAGCTTCGGATCTCACGAAGTCTTTCGAATCCCGTCATATCGATAAAACGTATATAGCCTTACTGATGGGACGCTTAGATAAAGAAGTCACGGTCGAAAAGCCAATCGGGCAACATCGACGGAAGCCGCACAAAATGGTACCGAATACAGATCCGAATTGTGTCGAACAAACGGTGCGTGACGCGAAGACGCAGTTCACACCCGTCCGCTACGGATTCTTCTTGGACACTCCGGTAACGAAAGTACAAATTAAACTGTTCACCGGAAGGCGACATCAGATCCGCGTGCACGCCTTGACGCTCGGCCATCCGATTTTCGGTGATTACACGTATACCGGTGCCGAAGAGCACGCTAGGATGTATCTGCATGCGAAAAAACTGCGTATTCCGTATAGAGGAGACACGGTAGAAGTCGAAAGCCCAATCGACTTCGATCTCGACACCGTTCTCGAAGTTTATTCGTGATAGTTCCCCTCGAAGCAGGGACGTCGGTCCCGGATGGCGACGGGCTCAGTAGTTCCGATTTGTGATGCTGCAAGCCCTATTCAGAATAAAAAAAATGAGGGGCTCCAGTGAGAGGTCACAGTACGAATCTTGTTCTTCCTCGTTCTCAGACGACGCATGCGGAGGTCTGAAACACTGTTTCGGTGGATATCTAATATTATCGCTTCGAAAAAATTCCCTGAATATATGAATACGATTCCCTTCCAGATTCAAGAATGGCGACAGAAGATTCGGTCCGCTCGAGAGTCCCCACAGCCCAGTCGAACCCTCCTCAACCTGAGAGTCTGGACCAAAAGAGAACAGCGGAAATTCGACGTGAATATGTCGAGTCAATGAACCAATGGCTCTGGCAATGCTACCATTGGCAACAGGTTAGTCTCGGGAAAGACTTTCCCTCGCTTCGGAGGTTCCCCATGAATAGGAATGGTTCGCAGGCTTCATTCGGCTGAATTCCTTGAGGAGGAGATCCTGAGCCAAGCTCAGTGCGGACGGAGAGATCGCAAACCGTTGTTCCACCCGCAGGTGAATATCGCCGTGACCTCAGCGATGCTCCATACATCATCTCAGGCCGGAGTCGACATCAACCGGAACATCGTAGTTCCCAATCCCCCGGATCTAATATACCAGGTTGGTTGAATTCCCGGCTATTCGCCCGAACTGGGAGTACCAATGCTATTCCTGTGGAGGTGTATATGCTACCCATATAATTGTGGAGACCCAAGAGGCTCGCGGGTAGGAATGGCTTGCGTGGGATTATGACGCCTTGAAGCGCTCCCAGGTGCGGATACCGTCCATTCCTAAACGCATCGCGGCAGAGTTCATCGACTGCGTGATATTGCTTGTCGCGAAGTTCCTCATCACCTTCATAGCTGTCGAATATTTCGAGCTCATCCAACTACCAAGGTAAGACCTCAAGGTTCCAAGAGCTATCTGGTAGGGTGTGGTTTCGCTTGATCGCTCTGGCTTACCTTTTCGCTGAGAAAGGAAACTAACACACCCCCGCTCGCTGCGAGTGTCGTCAAAAAACGCTTTTCCGAAGGGAGCAAACCAGCAATTCCCTTGCGGTCATCTGATATCTAAATTAAATCTTCTTCAGATTTCAGTTCTCGCAATTGTGAGTATGTTCGGGTGACTAATCTGTAGCTCGCTTGCTTCCCCCTTCCTTATCATTTATAGATACGTGGTGGAATGGATGTATCTGTGTCTCTATCCGTGATCCGATAGGATCACACTGATTCCATGAATCGTGCTAATGGGATGCGATTCCTGCCGGGTGAATATCGGAAGAGTGGGAGCCTGTCTCAATCTTTACGCTTGATTTACAGTTACGACCTCCGCATGATTCAGCAGGATCTCTTCACTTACTCGGTAGCTGTGCAGAGCATATTCGATAAGTGGCCGATTTTGATACTGGAGTTCATCCATCGAATGGTCGTGATCATCTATGAAACTGTAGGAGTGTGGGGATCCGGCGGTCGAGGCCAAACGATTGGTAAGTTCACGTATCCGTATCTTCTTGCTTGGGGGCCGCTGAGCCCTCCCACGATTGTCTCTGACGGAAGAATCTCGTTTGCAGGAAAATATATAATGCATATCCGCGTCATCAACTGCTCCGAATGTGACGTGGTTGCGCCCGGGGTGCTCAGAGTGCGCGTTTCCGGTGGTGTCGGCCTGTTCTGGGCTCTTCTCCGAGCGACAATGAAGAACTGTGGAGTAACCTTCTTGTTCCCAGTGTGCGCCACCGCCTTGTTTTTCTATCACAAACGAGCAGTTTATGACCAGGTCTGCAGAACGCTTGTCATAGAGGAACTACGAGATGGACCCAGAATTGTGGTCAATTGATCGAGAGTTCGTCGATAGATCTCCAGAAGGAGCCGTGATGCTTAGATTTGTACAAAGTATGTGAACACAAGAGAGAGGACTAGGGAGACCGTGATGAATAAACTTTGCGATTGAGTGGAAAGCAGTCGTTTCGCCTGATTATTATTAATAAGATGTGCATAATACAGGTCTCGTATACTTATATTTCCGGCAGGGGAATCCGAGCCCGGGGAGAGCAACCCATACGTGGCGGAACGAATGAGTTATGTCTCTCAGCCAGGGATCAGCAGGCGAAGCACGGACCGAATGCCGTGAAAACGAAATTTTCATCTATTTATTCAAGTCACGCCATATTTGCCATTTTAAGGTCATATCGAAAGATTGAATACACAATAATGAACAACACACTGCCAGTGGACAGAATGGGAGCCGCTCTTCAGGCTCAGTTTTCGTGGAGAAACCTCGATTTTCAGGTTTCCGAGCAGCTCGTCGTCCGGGATTCCCGAATGTTCCTGAGGACTCGGGGATAGTCACATGAAGACTGTTCAGATCCTCTGTAATGTTGAGAGACTCATCAGCCCTCTCAGCTGAAAGAGGATCACAAATTAGACCGCCGCGCCGTTACCAGTACCTGCAGAATCGCCCGAGTCCCTGATCCTCCTAGGACTCAAGGATCGTCGGACCCCCCTGAAGATCAGCGGAAGCTTGAAGAGGTGCTGGGACCTGGATAGGATGAAATAAACCTGGGACCTTGATGGGACGAGCTACCGCTGGCGCTGGGACCTGCTCCAAGCCTTTTTTGTTCCTGATCCTCGATCGCGGCAAGATACGAGTTTCGATGGAAGGTTCCGTCCGACCTTCTTTTTTTCGCCATACGCGAGCGCTCGTAACTGTTGAGCCTATTCCTCTGCAGATCAGGAGGAGTAAATAAAAGAATCGGGGCGCGTGAAGAAGACGGTGGTAATAGAGAGCATCGCTTTATGTACGAAAAAGGAGAAAAATCACCTTCGGAGTGATTTCTTCGAGCCATCTGCGAGCCTCATCGTTGGATTCCATTACCTCAGAAGTAATGACATCCAAATATGCAGACCCCCGCTCGCCTACCATGAACAATCAGCCCTCTGAGAATCGCTGGCTGAGCCAGTGACTTTCCGTCATATGTCTTCGTATTTTTCAATCCACGGCACAAGAGGGACCCCATGTGCCGGTGGTACTCAACTACCAGAGCCAGAGCCCTGCCTCGGACTCCATGAGCTAGAGCCAAGTTAGGGTCCAGCATGATAACTCTTTCGCAACCTTAAATCGCGAGATGGGGCTTGAACATTCGGATCGAACACCCGGAGGGATCAGATCATAGTTCATTTATCCCCTCTCCCAGCGTAGTGGCAAGCGCATCATCTCACAAATGTGAAATCCCGGGTGCAACCCTTGTCAGGATCGCAAATCATACTCAGCTCGTTTCGCGAATGGATACGCCGAGCGAGGATTGGCCCTGATGGCCGCGGTGCACCCGCGGAGTGCTCCATTCAACCTATATGTAATCGCAGCAGTCGAGGGCTCGATCAGCTCGAGTCGCCAACTGTAAGGGTGCGTCAGTCAAATCACAAAGAGCGTCACTCGGATCTCGAGTAATCTCAGAACAACAGCCCGGGACTCACCTCTGACGCCAGCTCGCGTTCTTCATCGGTCAACACCCTCGAAGGATCCCCTTGTGAGAGGTTGAGGAACTCGTTCTGGTCGAACAGTGTCGCCGGTTCGCGCTCAGAAAAGACAGCGTCCTCAGAAATGTTTTGGGAATCCGGGTCACTATCGCTGAATTGAACTCCCGAACCATCTCGCTGACTCTCATCAAAGGTTTGCGGCCTCAGAGACTCTCGGGCGCGTAAAGCTTGACTGCGAAACGGAGTGAGGAATACCGACCGATTGCGAATCGAATCCCCCAAGACACTCCGCGAGAACGGCTCACCTGCTTCTCTTTCCTTATCGGTTCTTCTCAATAGATCCACTTCAGCAATTTCCAGGCCTCTTTCTGATTCTGGTATCTTCGGTTTGAGCTGCCGCTTGCAATATGTGAGGTAGTTCTGAATGCAAGAAGGGGCGGAAAGATCGCATCGGAGAGCCCCGTTCGATTCTCACTGATATTCTCCGCTTCCACCGAGGATTGAGAGCTCATTTTCAGGAAATTCAAGGACGGTAAGTTCAAGAGTCCAGGTTTCGACGAAATTCTGCGGACGAGTCTCGTCAACGCGGCTAGCTCTTCCGGCGTCGGTTCCATCTCCGGGCGCTACAGAGGATTGGGAGGAGAGGAGAGATTGTTTCGTGCAAAGATGATTCCATGCCCCGACCATTGAGAAAAAGCATCATCAGTCGGGATCGTGACGCTCTCTGGCCCGGCTTCTGAGGCGATCGGGGGCTCGATGGAATCGACGTGGAATCGAGAAAAAGGAGTAGAATTTATGCTCACCTCGCAGGAGGGCAGTTTCACGATAAACACACAACTCCTCATGACAGACGCGATGTTTTACGTCCGACCATCGAGCAGTGTCGCATGAAATCGGATGTACCGTCGACGACGTTATTTTAAGCCAGACAGCGAAATGAGGACTCCGTAGAAGCTCGAGTGGGACGAACCGTCTTCTGTGACAACGATAGGAGATTAGCAAAAGCAGGAGATTTAAGTCTGCGGAGACATCCGGGAATTTCATTCTCAGACAGGCATCATGTCTCACTACATCGTGAATACGACGCCGACGGACGCGCGATCAAAATCACGGCTGGGGAGCCCCTGGCGCCCATGGCGACGGTAGTGAAGGTGATCAATTCGTGGGGAGCACCGAGTGTCGAAGGCGACCGTTCGTGCCTCGGAGTCCCTGCGTGCAGATCGGCCCTGAAGGAGCCCGTGCTCCTGGGACAGCTTTCGAAGTGAGGAAGCCGTATCCAGTTAACTAGGAAGGTTTCGGCCATTCTCGTGGTGTCACAGTCGCGATCTCCGAATATGATCTATGGTATCGACCTCATGATCGATAGTAGTATGGTTGTCAGACTGGGCCGAAAAATAAATTGGTGGAATCCATCTGTGTGGAGAACGGCTTATCGACGAGGTGGGCCAAGATTCCAACCGATGACACCAGCTGTCAGAGATTTGACATTTCGGCATCCTATCGGACAAGGGTGACAGCTTCCGGGCAAGGATGAAACACTGGTGGGTGAGCATCTTGCTCTCAACCTGGAGTCCGCGCGGATCGACAGTCACAATTCCCCCACCAGCAGGAACAAAACGCTCATAGAACAGAAATGCGGGAGGTGAGTTCGCGGTCGATTGATCTTGGATTCAACGAGAGAGCAGCCGCGGACCTCTTCATCAGGCATTGGGAAAGCATCTGATTTTGAGTAAGAGAGGGAATCCATTTAAGCGAGTAGAAAGGAGCTCTGAACGAAGGCCACCGCCAGAAAATGTTCCCGAATTCCGCTCTCCGCGTCGATAAACTATGTTTCATTGCAGATTCGAGCAAAGTTTCGTCCTGAACCTTATTCAGCGCATAATCAAATGCTCTTTGAAACATGAAGAATACTCATGAATGAACTCATACTTATTGTAAGACGATCCCTGTAGGACTTGATAGGAGCCAAGTGTTTTTGCAGGATTCAGGGATTCGGGGACCCCTGCCTGCGAAGACATCTTGTATTTTTGTCTGTCGACTCTGCTCGCCGCTTGGGTTCCGCGAGTACTCCTGGGGATCGACGGATTCTATTAGGGGATTTTTTTCGAGGCAAAATCGATGAGGAATGTTGGGAGCGAAGGAAAGCCCCCGCTGCCCCATCAGAAGTATTTTAGAAGTCAGAAGGAGGCGGAGGGGAGGGACGAGCGCTTGATGTCGGAAAAGAGATCCGAGTGCACACCGCGGAAGCCGCGCCGGGTGCTGATTCCATGAAAATTTCTCGGATATCGAGGTCCTTCAGCTTCTTAATGTTGATGATGCGAGCCGGGTCGGAATCTTTTGAAATCGTCCGTCGGTTGTGTGGAGAGTCTCTTCTTCTCCGCCTCCTCTCGCTCAACCTGCTCGACTCGCTCCCACAGTTTGCGTTCCAGGAGTTCTGACTCTTCTCTGAACTGTTGGGCTTTCGCTGCCTTATGGAATCGTAGTTTGACCATTTAAGTCCGAAATCGAGGTTGCGAAGTGGAATAAAGGCGAGCGAGAACATCTCGTTAGATGAAGCTGGGAACTCACATTTGGAGTGACTTCTTCGAAACATTAGGTGCCATCTTCGCTTCGACATATCCGCTCGGCCAATTCCGGATCTTCAAATGCAATCTTCCAGCGGCCTACCCAGAAGAAATTTTCTGTTCAGAAACTGCAGGAGGAGCTGAGTCCTCCTCCTGTCTCGCTCCCAGTGAACGTACCGAGTAAAGAATGACACCTTCCGCGATATTTCCTAGCAAGCGAGCTCATGAAATCCAGAGTGATCGCTTTGCTGGAATCCCTGATCGCGTTGGTCGGCTTCATCATTTTCAGAAGACACCTAGAGGATTCTGATTAGGCTACTTGTGCGGCTACTCATCCACGACACAGAAGATTTATCTTGATTCATTATAATTATCAGGAGGATCCTGGTAGAGTCCGTACAGGCCTCGTTTTATGAGATGGTCTGGAGTATGCGCATCGTACTTAATGCATTCAGTCCATAAATTCAAAGACTCCTTCAGATGCGCTTCGCTGGACGCTTGGGCGTACTCAGCTTGAGACCGCAGCTGTGAGGGATAAATCGCTGTCATTCAAGTGTCTCTGCGCTCCCAGATCCTATTGAGAAGTTTCCAGGTCTGAGATCTGGAGTTCACCACTTCGGCCTCCCTCAGATCATCCTCGATGGGTTCCGTCGAAGTATTCCCTTGATCAAGAGCGCGTTCGTGGATATACGGTAGCGTTCCTCTGGAGACGAGCTGTGGAACAGGGCTCCCATCCCTCAATCATTTCGGGAATCGAAGAGCCGATTGAAAGGTCCTGAATTCATAATCCCGTCTCCGGTCTTGTGCTCGCTGCGTCTGGGACTCTGAGGCTCGTCAGGGCCGGCTTTGGATTGGATCTCCCGCTCCATCATTGAATGTCATGCGAATCGCTACGAGGTC